GGTTTTGGGTTTTGGGTTTGGGGGTTGGGGGTTGGGGGTTGGGGGTTGGGGTTGTTTTGTGTTTGTTTTGTTTTGTTTTGGGTTTGTTTTGTTTTGTTTTGGGTTTGTTTTGTTTTGTTTTGTTTTGTTTTGTTTTGGGTTTGTTTTGTTTTGTTTTGTTTTGTTTGGATTTTACGATAAAGTCATGAGAGATTGACATACTACACAAGCCCATAGTCATCAGCTTTCACATCTGATAGTGATAACAAAAAGGGTTTAGGAAATAAATTCCAAACATAAAATAAATAGTTTGGTAGCATAACAGCTAGACACTGAAGCTTCCCTTACTGTCTTCAATTTGTGGAGTTTTTGTCCTTTGCATCATACTGTTTCGCTGGGACTCATCAGATGCAAGGTGTCACCTTAGTGTATTCACCGGGAGTTTGCCATGGTAACCACAGCAGAATAAAATATCATTGTGATACATTTTGGATTGGTCTGTGCCCATCTGTTACTCTCCCCTAGTGAAAATGGGGCGGAGTAAGAGAGGCTGGCATCCTCAGGATGGGCGGCCCCGTTACTCAGCAACTGTGAAGTGGCTGGCATTACTAGCCAAGGTGTGGCGCTGTACCCTCACTGAACATTAAGGGATCATCCCTGACCTGACCGAGGTGTGTTGGCGGCTCCACACAGAGCAAGCTGCCGAGCGTGAGACACTTTGTCAAGACAGTTCATCTGGAACTTTCTAATATGTGCTCGTATCACCATAGGGTTAATTATACAGACAGATTTCAGGCAAATATTACGGATGTCACATCTGCCCAGAGTCAAGGTGACTAATGCCATAGGGGAAGTTGTCAGGGTGTCAATGAGGCCTTTGAAAATCCTATTTCAAAGCATAATTGAATGGAAAACACCCGCCACAAATTGCATGACTTTGCCATAGCCCCCGATCTTTCAAATGAGGCGTTTGGAATGGCAAGACGTATTCCCCTCCTCCACAGAGTTCAGCTCATTCATGCTTGGCGGCTTTTGCACCAGGAGCCAATGCATACATGTATATTACATAGACCTTTCTTTGCGGTGCTAATATAGCAGACCCTTGAAAGGTTTATTTGTAGCACGTCTCCAGGTCTTCAGAAAGCATATCAGCAAATAACGATACTGGCAGAATTTCTAAAATTAGCATAGATCCTGAGCAGTACCATCACCAGACATTTTCTAAGGAACCTGGCGACGAGAAACCAACATACGTGTACATGTAATTTGCTGTTCAAAACCTTTCTGCAGCTATAGTAGCAAATTATTTTGTAAGGTATTTGTCCGTGCTGGTGTCATGTACATGTGTACATCAGCATGTATGCACACGAGGCACACATGATGTACATTCATGACTTGGGCAGAGTTTACTCAAGTGAAGGCTGAAGAGTAAGTTCTTCCATTTTATTCAACCCTTGAATAATTTACACCTGTCATCTGGTAGCTTACTTATCAAGTGTCATGGAATTCCAACACACACTGCTGCCAAACTATATAAATAGAAGTTCCATTCCTCTGATAAATGGAAGTTCCGTTTTTTTTCTTGTCACACTGAGTCTGAACTCCCATGTAAGGGGTGCATGTATTTACCAGTAAGAGGGTATTTCTTCAGATGATGCATTGATTTATATATAGTGTATAAGAAATATTTCACATTGTCCTGTGGGAGGAATAGTGGCACGAGATGACAGATGAAATACCCACTGGCGTCACCTCCTAGAATGTAGCTTTAGGCAGTCATCTTATGATATTATTCTTACCAATGCACTCCCAAACATCCATTATTTGTATACCACTCAGAATAATTATATGATTAATAAAGAAGTAATCATATTTTAATGTTTTTTCTATAGATGTTGATTTCAAATCTGTTTGTCCACACAGGAAATCTGCAATTGTTCGACCAAAAACCAAACAGTTGGCACTTTTCTCAAATCAAATTTCAATCCTAAAATTTACAGAAGCTGCCCATTCAGCAACCCACGTAAAAAGAGGAATTTGTGTGTCGTCCTTTTCCGAGCCTTCGATTGTGTCTGTGGTTCCTTTGAGTTGCATCATTAATGGAATTGTGTTCTGTTTTGTCACCTTTGTTATCTGGCGACCTTGACGTGTCTCTGCACCTGCTTCCACAGGGCCGGAGTCCCACTATAAAAACCAGTGGTAAATTTGCAATTTAAATTTAGTAGCAAGGGATTGTAGTGCCACTGGCTGTCAATTCACTCTTTTCTCTCTCGTTGGTTTTATTTTTATTTTTCCTTGCGCTGATGAAGATTCGGTTTTGTATTCCGGCTGCTTTAGTTTTTCAGTTTATGAAACTCTACTCTTGTGAATGAAACCTGACCCTGCCGAAGATGTCGGACTCTTTTGAAATGGGCAAGCTTAGGCCATAGTTCTAAATACACAGCAGGTAACAAACATACTTCCCAAAAAATTCTGCCAATTCTGAAATTACCCGTCTTTCTCACTTGAACAGAATTTAAAATAATGGTGGTATAGCTAGTTTCTACCAACAGGTCCCTTCAGCCCGGTGATCACATGTCAGGACAATTTTATTCGCAATTTGTAGTTTGGAAAGAGCTTTATTGGTTAACACTCTGCAACCTCACTACTGTTAATGGTCGCAGCATAGACCTTATAATGTGATACCACAAACAAGAGTTTAACGTATGCACGCACAATATACACTGTCTGTTGTCTCGAGTCCTTTATCATATCAGAGTATAAGCCAAACGAAGTACTTTACCGAAGTTTTTTTGTCTCTGTGCTTAACAGACATGTACATATGCCTTCATTCGTCCCGATCAAGTTAAATGATCCACGGCCTTCAACTTGAGGTGAAGCTGAGCTGAGTTGACGTTTTTAAGCGACACTCAAGCATGCATGGCAGATATTTAATTGTTGTGAGCGGTGTAAGGTCCATGTATCAATATAAGCTTGGATGTATGTACATTGTACAATGTACTCACTTCTTTCCAAGTTCATTGATGCAGTTCTTTTTGTCATAAGGAGGACTTTTCTCCCATGTTGACAGAAGAAATCCTGTGTGTTTTTCCGAAAAGTATTAAGAGGATTTTTCTTTCAAATGTGTGTGTTTTCTTCTTGGATTTGCAGCCTCAGCCATGGGCATAGACCTGAGGTTTGTTGATGTGCAGTGTTGTTCTTTTAGGAATAGAACAATTTTGCTGCGAGCTTATCAAGTTGCCTGCGATTCCTTCCATTTTCTCGTTCTCTAATTCTGTTATTGTTGGCATCTTGCAGGATATAAGTGCAGCTGCCAGCTAATGAACCGTTTTGTTCAGGCACTTTATGACAGAACTTTGAAGAGAGAGCTCCTTCCTTCGATGCCCACTCCCCCTATTTTTCCTCTAACTGTACATGGTTTCACTCTCATGTTTTTCTTTTCTTTTGCATTACCAACCTCTCCCTAGGACATTGACGAGATTACGGTGAACTACCCATCCATGTTGGAACTGATGCAAGATCTGAAGGGAATGGGGGAGAGCAATGCATCATGGTCTAGGAAGAGTGTCCTTCACCGTGGCACTCAAGCGGCAGCTGCCGCCATCTACAAAGGTGACAGGATTCATCCCTTCAGCTAGAACAATGAGCTCCTTTTTTCATGAGATGGGGAAAGGGAAGTAAAGCGGCGAGTAACCACTCGGGTGTGGAGGACGTAGTCGCACTAGACTCCATTGGATTGACGGGTGGTGGGCCAGGATGGGCTGTCTCCTTGGGAGTACAGCGCTTGTTTAGCTGACTGTGTTGTCCTGTGAAATCTCGGCAGTTTCACGGTTGTGGCCATGTGCACAGAGCGTAGCGTTGGGGGAGCGATGACAGGAGGTTCGAGTGGTATTAAAGAAAGCTCTCCACATCCATTTGTTTTCCCAATGAAAACTTACATCATGTGCTTACATTTAAGGAGTTTGTAGTTGAAGTGTCATGTGCGGTTCTTCAACCTACATGTATTCTCGCAAATTCTTAAAAAAAAAAAAAAAGGTTTGAGCTTGATTTAAATGGTCAAGAAAGTTTGTTGAACCATCTGAACTATTGAGTGCAAATGTATGGACATCTTTCTGTTGATGATTTGCGTCTAATCTGCTGTCTATCGTTTTACCATTTACAAAGCACAGTGCCTTGGGAATAATTTATCACGGCAGTCCGTGGAGATTGGGCAGCCTGAAATGACCTTTTTTGTACTGATAAGACATATTGTTAGGACTACGAACACTGCACTTTAGAAATGCTCACGACTGCTGCTGGTGGAAGTGTCAAACACGCCTAGGCCTATACAAGTATAGGCCTTATTTTGACTCTTGTCGTGACTTTCATCCCCTCTCACTGGGAAGCCTTATAAATATACTTGATGAACCTGCACGGCTGGAACATGTTTGGGTGGTAAAAAAAAATTCGCGTGTGAAGCACAGCTCTCTAATTGTTTCCATTCAAGTTCGCCCTTAGGCCTTATCATTTTCCTTGATTGAAATTTCGACCGAACGTCCCTTATATGAAACACTTCAATTTGTGACTGATTAGGACACTGTGGAAATTCCTTATTTTTGAGTAAATTCTAAGTATCAGTTTCTCGTTGTCCTGGTACCCTACAAGGCGCCACAAACACACGCACACGAGAACAAAGGAAATTTCCCACAAGGATGCGCATGTAAGTCTGGGTGTATATGTGTCTGTCTTTCTTGTCTACTCCAGTGAGGGTAGGCTACTCTTAACCTTCTGACAAAAAGCCGAAGTTTACACTGGCGCTCTCAATGTTTACAAATTTCACTACGGTTTAAACTCATCATTCGGAACTGAATTCTGAAGGGCTCGCTGAAAAGAACGACCCCTTTTAAAATCCTCTGCAATCCTTCATTGTTGACTTGTAAATTACCACAAAACAATTCATGTATTTTACTTAGTTGGTATATAAACTACACCAGATTGCAGGATTTTATGTCCTCTGTAAAAATGTTCTCGGGGAGCATACCAACAGACACTCCTGTAGTCTGGGGATCTTCGTCAGGGCTCCTAAACCATCATCATTTTGAATCCTCTCCTGATAATCTTGGGTACAGCCCTGACAAGTTCCATCGAGCTGTGTTGTAATTCTACCCGACAAGCTTTATTAGGTTTCCACGTAACTAGTGAGGGTTTGATTTGAAGTTGGCTGGCCGGCCTAACACTCTCCCGCCCATCGTCGGCGAATTTCCCGCATCAGTTCGTCCCGCTGATGACGAGACCAGATAACCACCCACCCCGTATATGTCCAAAGGAACAAACAACCAGCCATGCATTTATTCCCTTTATAAATTACCCGTCCGATCCTGACAGCGCGAGAGGGAGGGGGCCTGTGGAAGACCATCAGTTGTTACCAGGAAGAGAGGCATTCGTTCACAACTTGTGTTCTGCTTCCGTTGGAATCGCTCTCGCCCGTCCCCTCCACGCTGTGATCTGGACGGCGAACGGAAGCAGTATCTCCTCCGGGCCAGACAAGCCGTCCCTTCCCGTTGTTGGACATTTGGACCCTCAGCCCCCGGCAACCCTCTTAGATCATTTATTCTCTGATTTTTGACACGTTGCCAGCACTTGCATTGCCCACTTCAGGACCTGATCTCATGTAATTGCTTTATACCCAACACAATTTGTGGTCCATTTGTATCTAGCCCACCGCCCTGCTGACAGTGTGCCAGGGATATTACAAGCGTCACTTCAAGTTTCCCCTTATAAACATGCACAGACACCTTTTCTCTCATCTTCACTGTGCACTTTATAATCAGGTTCCTTTGCAATAATGATAGATGGCCAACTGAGCAAGATGAATTGAACTCTAAGCAAATAGCGTCATAGTGCAAGTACGGGTACCGCTTGTTTAACAAGTTACTTTGGAAAGCCATTTCCTTAAATGCTTCCATCGAAAATAGATGTCGCATCAGACAAAAGCATGGTTTGCACTGCTGCCTATCGGATTTAATGTAATATTATTTTCCACACCTTACAGTGTAAAGTGGGATAATCAAATAGGATTATCTTCATAAACTCACCCAAAGCCCCTGTTCCATTGAAGTTTTATACTTTGACAGGAAAGAATGTCGTGACTGTAGAATCTTTTGCTAAAGTCAAGGCCGCCATCCCCCTATTTGGCATAAAAAAGAAGCAGACGTATTGTAGGTATGGGGCTTTTCCCAAATGACGAGCAAGTTCAGTATTCTTCAGACAGTTGTCAAGTCTTAATTTCTAAGGGGTTTTGGGTTTCAGCATTTGCGTTTAGTTGACAACCTATTCAGTGTATCCCTTTTTGTGTCATTTGCAATGTAGATTAAGGGGTTTGGCCAGTCTTCGACCAAATATCACTTATCCCTGTTTGTTTGTCGCCTCCCGAAATACCAAACTATCAAGTTAAGCTGTTAAATCAGTTACATCATGTGTGTCACATGTTGAAGAATTTTTTTTATTTACAGACAGTGCAAACTTTTGGCCTCAGCCATGGTGTTCGTAATTTATTTTTGATGAGTGATTAAATACAAAATGAAGATCTCAGAATGTTTTTTATACGTTGCGTGTGAAGAAAAGATGTGCAGCAAAATGTACCAAAGTTTCTTTTTGTGGGATTCAGTTTCATCTGTGTGTTATTGGGATGTGAGATTGCGCAGTGGTATTTTTTCACACCCTTAACCCTCTCTATTTTGAGTTCAAATCAAAATCATAGTGGAAGCGATAATCATGGAGGTTTTTTGGAGTGGGGGGCTATATCAAAGCCATAATTGTATACTGAGTTGTTACAGTGCATTTTCTTTGACGAGTGCCTCTCGCGACCTTGTCCAAATTTTTGCTGTGTTCGCCATGCGTAGATCGAGATTTATTCCCCAAATGGTTGGATGGGTTTTGCCCGGACTAAGCGTTCTCCCGGGTTATTTCATCTCTGCAGATGAAATATCTTGTCTCGTTTCCTCTCTATTCCAAGTCAGAGCCCAGTTGAGATCAGCCCTTGCACATCAGAGCTTGCAGGGGGTAAAATAAGAAATGTGAGATGACATTGGTCATAACCTTGCGAAGTCCAGCAAGATTCTTTTTGGTTTACCTTGCACCTGTGGGTGGGGTAAGCCGTGTGCTTTACATTATATAGGCATGTGCTTATTACTATTTTTGTACACTTGTTACCCATGGTGCCAGTTGAAAAAAACAAACAAAACAGGGAACATCGTAAATATTTTGCGGAGGAAAGATGTTTTCATACGTATCAATTTTTAATGGAAATTTGCCCCCAACTGATGTCGCTCCACAGTTCATGGTCATCATTCTTATCACGAAGAAGGTAATCATCGTGAAATATGAACAGTGTATATATTGTGAGAGAGAATCAGCTTTGGAGATGTCCCTGGGGTTAAGAAATTGTAATAAGATAAAGACGGATACTGCCTGGTTAAGTCCTCGTGTAATTACCTCAAGGTTGATTGAGGAGTCTGCATGACAATACCATTTTGTACACACGCGTTAGTTTGCTATTTTGGGTAGTGCGGTAATTGCTTGTTCTTTTGTGCACGATTTATTTTTTTCTGGCGCGGCTTTTCCACAGTAGTTTTTTTTTTTTCAAATGAAAAATCCCTTGTTAATTCAAAGAAGGAAGAGGAGTTAAGTTCTTAAGAATCCATTGGCCAAAGTAGCTATATGGAAGGTATCCCTCAAAATCTATTTCAAAATGTATCGAACTCTCTTGAATCCCTAAGTCCATGCTGTTGTTCAGACGATGAAATTCTGTCAGTATCATATTTTGAAAGGATTGCATCCTGTTTCATATGAAAATGTCTGGCACTTTACAGCATGAAAGTAGTATATTGAACACCATTCAGTTTGTTAGTCAGCCCCCTCCCCCAAATATTGATCTGGCACCCTGTATCACTCGCTATCCCGCCACCAATTTAAAACAGCAAAAAAATTGTTATATAATATTTAAGAATAGTCATGGTTTTACTGTCCTGACAAAAAAAACAAAAAACAAACAGCAAGACTCGAATGCCAGACAACCCGCTCCTCAGCATAATCCTTTTGTACGGGCTATTCAGTATGCATCGATATGGTAAGCTTACACCTGCAATGTTTCCTTGGAAAGAGTATTTGCACTTCCCAGGACGTGGCTGTTTTGCTCGCATGCCGATATTGACCACAAGGCCAGTGTCCGCTATACGCGCTGCACGCCCGATCCTTTCCCCGGCCAGCTTTGCCCTGGAGATAGCATTCAGCGTCACAATAAGTCAGTGAATGGTACACAACCATGTGCGAAACGAAACTGCATGTTGTGCTTTTTGAGATGCCTTCGGCATTTCCATTGTGTGAAGACGGGTGTTTTCCCAATCTTCAGCAAAAATAAAGATTAGAAATGAAGCGTACAGCTGCGGTGATACAGCCAGGCAGGCTGCCCCGAAGGAATGCCTTATTGTTAGGTGAATGCGACAGCTCCATGTGCACATGTACATGTATATACATGTACATGTACATACCTTTTGATCATATACTGTATCGAGTATTCCTGTGTACATGAGTTTGATAATACATTGTTTTGTGTTTGTTTTTCTTTGTTTGCCAGACATGTACGGTAATGAGGATGGCTCGGTACCAGCAACGTTTCAGATCCTCTACATGATAGGCTGGAAGCCACATGCATCTCAGGTACATATCAACTTCCTTGTCAGTTTTGTTAATTAACCAGCTTTGAAGATTACTTTGGATGGAGGAACATGTACATGTGCTTTCCTAACGGCCTCTTTGATAGTCTCTCCAGTCGTTTCATTTGAATGTCAAAGTTACCTAGTTTGGACACCTCTTTTACCTCTGAAATTGAAGTCCTGCTAGACGTCGAGTGCAGAGTTTTTTGCCGCATTTTTTAATTCTCGGTTTTTATTCTTGAAACTCCATGGTCTGTTTGATGCCTTTTCTCTAGAATGAGCTCTCCCTAATTCCGTGTCCATTATTATATGTGTATGCACCTTTTAATTCATAATAATGAATTTCTTTTCATCAGTAACGTCCCCATTTCCACCGTATAGGTGAATTTCTCACCAGAGAGTAAAACCTAGGTTTTGAGAAAATTGCATTTGAAATTAGTCTTTTTTTCAAACGCTTATTTCCCCTGTATTTAGCGTGACTTTGACTTAACCAATGCTACTTCATGAAAGAGACCCCCCTCTTAAGTAACACAAACTACCGAATAATGTTCATAGAAGTCAATTAGAATTGTTTATCTTGTAAACAAACAAGTTCGCCACTTCGTGGAAACGCTAAAATTCATGTGACTTGTCTTCTCGTGAAAACGCGTGCTGTTTTGCTATAGCGCGGGCCAGGTTCAGAATTGTTACAGTTGTATACATTTCCTGCGTCAAATTTGCCTCTTCGTGAAAACGGCAAAACGAGTTTGCACACCGTTTTGCCCTTCATAGCCAACGCTATATCTATGGAAGACAAATCCACCTCTTCGTGAAAACGCATAATGTGGAATAATTGAAATTTGCCCCAGGTAGATCAACGTGGTTTGGCTGATTTCAGCAGATTTGGTGAAAAAAATGATTACACCAAGTTGTAGGCATTGCGTAACCTGGTTGAGTTTGTCTAGAAACAGAAATTTGAAAAAAAAATCATGTTTTTTTGGCCAAAGTGTCTCTTCGTGAAAACGGTGACGACATATGTCAATATCTGATATGTCAATCTTGCAACAGTTAATTAAAGATCACACAAAAAAACTCACCTGAAACTACACTGTAACATATCAGACGTCTTTATACGTGCATAATAAGGCTGCTATTACTTTCCTTTTGTAATTGTAATGAACAGACTGCTTTAATGTCGGCAAAAATGACGAAAGCACACTATTAAAAAACCCTCACTGCCTACACTTATCTTTCCGCCACCTTCAAAGACAAACTGATTTCTGAGTCATTAAAAAATGCATGGAAATGATATTGAACGAAAAAAAACCCTGAGGATTACATCAAGGGTGATCATGAAGAGATTGCAGGGTAAATGTTGACAAAAGATACGCATCCACACGCCCACTAAAACTCCGGCTGTGTCAACATCATCTTAATAGGTTTTTGCACGGATAATTGGACACTAATTGGGAGTCCCATTTAATCTCTCGATTGGGTTTGTCTAATTTATACCCCCAGTTTCACTGTGGTATTTCACCAAGGCTCTATCGATGTCGGTGTCATACCACTGTCATGTGAGCGATAATGGAACCAATCCATGTATCTTAGACTGTTGTGTGAGCATATCGAAGCCAGTACTCCGATATTCAGCACCCTTGCCTGAAAATGCTGAAGAGTTTGGGATCACATGAAAATGTACTGCCTACAAGGTGAAGCTCGTTCCCAAGGGATGTCTGATGGACACGTGGATGGAATATAGAGGACTGGGAAACGAGAACGGGGTATTTATGCAAAATGGAGCAGGATGGGTAGTTCACACCCTTTGATTGAACACGCGTTGTCTGAGGTGTTCAACTGGAACCTCTCGGTGGGCGATCATAAGGAACCTCATTAATGACGTACATGAAGCTTGAACCTCCCAAAACGCGAAAATGAAAACAAAACATCTACCCAAGGTCAGGTCGACCTGTCTGGCAAGCGGTGCGACTGTTTGCGTTTCTGGGCACCTTGCGCCTCTTGTAATAATAGACAGTGTTTGAAATGCTCATTATTGGTGTTAATGGTCAACAGCTGAAGAGAGAAAAAAATGGAAATTGCCTAATCGTCAGTACCATTCAGGGACGGGTATTTTAGCCGCCTAATTGGGGTTAACACCTTGAATTAAGGGGTTCGTTGAAAGCCGCTGACGATGTTGGCCGACCCTGAGCTGTGCAAGGAAGTGTGCGGCATCGCTGCCTTTGCGCGCGCTGGTCGAATTATCCAAGCACGTAAATTGATTCAGGGCCTCTTCATTACCGCTGAACGGTAAAAGACGTTAAGCGCAAATCCTCAATATGTGGTAATGAGGATTTCGCTGTGTTAAGCATAACCTTGCAACGCCGCCTGTCTGTTAAACATTATAGCCCGTACACCATCATTATTGATCAGGAGGCTAAGAGTTATAGTTTCCCTGTATCACCGAGTTGTTGCTTTGTTCTCACGTAATCAGTTATACTTATCGATATGTCATTCGAAGGTTTGTGGAGAAGAACCGCCACACAATGTTGTCGAAAAGGAAATCAAATAACGAAGGGGGGGGGAACGCGTATTTTGAATGAGTGCAGGCCCATATAATTTGGGGATTTTATAACGAACCTCAGAAACCCCAATTCATAAAGAAAAGTGCTGGGAACCACCAAAATATTTTGTCAGGCATCTTGCTGGAATGTCTTGTTCTATAATTGTCATAGGGAAGGTAAGTGATGTTTTTTCATCCCTCGTCCTCACCCTGAAGCCCACTCATCTTCAAGTTCTTGTTCAAAGAGCTGTTATTGATTTCCACTTGTGTCTTGTCTTCATCACAGCCCAAGCCAGCGAAACGAGGCTCGGCGACTGTATCTCTCAAGGATTTGGATAAGCTTTCCAAAACCGGTAGGCCGACATGAGGAAGCTTATACCCAGCCAAACCTCGGCAAAGTGTCATCTCTAGAGCCACCCCTCGTCACCATGCTCCCAGCAAACTGGACCCTTGTTCACACGTTTTACTCAATGTACTTCTGGAGAGGAGAGTAAATAAGGGCATATTATTATGTGCTTCGACGGCTTCAAATATTCGTTTCAGACCGGCTCAGGAGAATGGACCCTGATAATACCCAAGCCACTGTGAGGGACATTATCCGCATCCATTTCCCCGAGCCGGCCAGACCAGCCAAGCATAACTTACCCACATTCACGAATACCTTTTCAGTCACAAAGATAACCATTTCCCCGAGCCGGCCAGACCGGCCAAGCATAACTTACCCACATTCACGAATACCTTTTCAGTCACAAAGACAAAACTATTTTTCAAAATTATAAAATTCGAACGATTCTGTCAACAGTTTAACTTATATTTAGCATATATTTCAAACACCCTCAGCCACACTATGCTCCTCTCGCGAATAACCCCCTTATATGGAAATTGTCGCGCGCATGGCGCGTACTGAGCATAGACATATAAACACATAGATCGAGTTTGGGCTGCGTGTTCTTGACACGGGTTTCTTGTTCTTGCGCTCGAACGGCGGGAACACGACTCAAGAACACTGTTCTTGGAACAGGATCACACCACCTCCTTGTCAGAGTTTACAGGAACACACGGAAAAACTCGTGAGATTTTGATTTTCGAACAGCCGCAAAAAATAGCGAGATGGCTTAGCCGGAGACAATGGGAAGTTGTTACAAAAATAACAATAATCATTTTCCATAGCAAAGAACAGAATGTTCTTTTTAAATAGAAAAGAATTCAGCCCGGCTTTCAATAGTCTACTCTGAAAGAACGCACATGGATGCCGCAATGTTGCATGCAACAACCAGCGATAACCGGCTGTACGTTCCCGGCGTTCGAGCGGCCGACTAATGAACAACAAATCGAGCGATTCTTGAACATAGGAGAACAAGCCGCTCGAACTCATCCATAGATCATCGGTCTCGCGCGTATAACCGTGATTTCGAGAAGTATGGGCGAACAGTGAGCAAAATGATAGATGACAGCGCTTTCAGTGCGCATCGCGTGTAACGTACTTACATTGCCCGTATTTGTATGCATATGCTCTCAAAATACGTTCATTTTTTTGCTCTTTGATACTGCTGTTCCAAACGCATCGTTTTGAATCTACTTGAGCTAGGTGAAATAAATGGAAGATATTTTTCATAATCAAAAAATGGCTTCATAGAATTTTTGGCCGGAATTCTTCACCTCCTGTGCGTACATTCCTTATACTGAGGGGGTGAAATTGCCCATCGTTTTGATTTTAGTTGGATGCTTCGTAGAAATGTTCATGTATGTCTGAATGCGATCTGGTGGTCTGTGTGTTTAAATGTCAGTGGTACTGAGTGAGGTGGAGCACAACCAGCCGGTGCTCTCTACAGTACCGCAGTGAATACGTCATGTCCGCAATCATGTTTGTAAAAGGTATATGCGAGAAAACCACCGCGTGAACCAACGCGTGCACTCCTGGTTCACGCACTTCTGTACTCTGTGTAATAGCTCCATGCTCTTATCAACCGTTTGAGACAGACCACGTGACTGGCTCTGGACCAATAAGAATGGCTAAACTGTCATTGTGTTTTCGAATGCAGTGTTAAAGCTAGACCATTAGAATTTTATTTTGTGCTTTTTGTTTATTGAACCAGTGTTTCAAATAATGATGGTAATGTAAAGATGACAAAAAATTGGTGTGCAAATAAATGAATTCAGCATTATGCTGTCTTGTTAATCGTGCCCCTTATTGAGTGATTCATCTTTTTTTGCATCATAAAGATATAATATACAATTCTATGACTCATTTTTTTTTTTACAAAATAAAGCTTAAACTTAATGAAGATTTATACAATAACCTAATGCATCAAGCTGTATAGTACATTTTCTCATATTGTATATGAAGGTGGCGTTCTTCGTGTACATGCTTTGGAAGGGACTTCCACGACTGCGATTTGCACAAAAATAGTTTGGTAATACTTGAAAATGTCAAATACTTCGACATGTCTAATGAATGCTTAAAACCGTGTACGAGAAATCCCCTTATGACTAATTGATGTCCGGCCATTTCCTACCGCTGATGCGCGTCTTGCGATCAGGGCTTCGTTGAATGGTGCTCATTCAGTATTTATGCCTGCCCTGTCCTTGTTTTTAAGGCTGTAGGGAAGAATGCTGTGAACGTCGAGCATTATCTAACTGCAGTTAGAATGGGCTAACTGGACTAGAAATATTGCAAGAAATAACTCATTAAGGCAGACAATTTTGAACAAAAATTACGTTCATATAGTCAGCGCGTGTTATTGCATCATTACTTTGGACAATGTTCTTGCCAAGAGACAAGATATACATAATTTACTTGGATTGCAAGGGCATACTCCTATTGTCATTGGCTGGTACCAAAAGGTCTTTTGCATGTTTTATTGATGTTATGCCGTTTCATATTACGATGTACTTCAGAGGTGCTCTGCAGAACTACAAATATTTCCCGGCCTTCCGTCCGGCCCTGTGCCCTGCGGGGTCTTGGTGCTGTGCGTTCGGGTCTTACCACTCTGACCTTGGAAGTTCCCACCCCCTTTTCTGAATATCCTGGAACGGCCCTTGACATTGGGATAAACTTTTCAGCCATGAGAGGTTATCTCAAGAAATTCTTAAAACCCATGTGCTAAAGGACCGAAGAACGCCACGCGTTACATTACGAGTGGTCCCAGCAATGGCTTTATGAAAAGGGTAGTGGTTATTTTACTCTTTTAAAGTGATTTTTTTTTCACCCTTGGCCAAAAGATGCAAACTTCATTCTGATAGACTGGAGGACCATTCGAACAAGAGGCTCTTCAAAGAGTTTATTTTTCACTCCTTTGCATTTAAAGGTATGCATTAAAATGCATCAGTCGCCCTCACGTGTAAACCCCTTCCACTTAGTTGTGCGCATGTGCTAAAATTTCGCAAAGTCGTCGTCACTTTCTGTTGCTTGTTAAAATGGCGACACCAGCCAGCAAACGACTATACCAAAATCCATTTGCGGAGATCTTCCACATTATGTAAAAGTTTGCTGAATTTATACCTGAGAGATATATCAGGCTTCAGATTTCATTTTGTGATGTGTTTCATGTTAATCATAAGTGACATTTCGGAGAAATGAAGATGCTTGTGGACGTTACATTTCCGAACGTAAAAAGGTATTTTAAAATCGAAATTGTGAATTGTTCTCCAGTATTTCCACACAAGCTGCATATCTTGGTAGTTGAAAGACTGTTTGATAAAGGATAATATGTTATGTTTAAGCTACTGCGAATTGTCCTTCGTTAGTTTTATCAATTTCAACTTTAGCTCTGTGTCGATTGATGGTCGGCCATGATTTACATTTGCACATGTGCACGTACAGTACATGTACTCCATCAACGCACGTATACGTGAACTACTACAGACAAATGATTCTCGCGCAAAATGTTCAATTCGCGATAAAACTTGAAAATACTATTGATGTTTTTATTGGGTCTTAATGCACATGCCACTTTATTTCGTTTGTTTGGATAAACTGGAGAAGTGGTTTTATATTAGGAAAAACCGTGGACGTATTTTCTTTCAAATATGTTCTTTTTTTAACCGGTTTTTCAGAATTTGTTTTAAAATTTGTGCAACTGGGTTCATATAGTACGGTGGTATAATGTTGTCTAATCAATTTTGAGTTTTCAGGTTATCTCCGTGAAATTTAGTTGTTGTTTTTTTTGGAGGGGGGAATAAAAAATAAATTACGGTCTCCATTCGCGGAAAGAAGTGTCAGAACGGTGTCTGACGTCGCCTGCATCGAAATCCACAGTAAAGTGATCGACTGCGCATGCGCTAACTCTCAACTAAGCACAAAGGCATCGGAGTGAACGTGTCATTTGCCCTAAGTGTATATAGGCCTTTAACGCTAGACAATTCGGGAAAATTAATTGATTGTTGCCAAATAAGGCGGGTCACACATTTCCACTTTTTTAACCCAAATTGCCAGGAAGAGTTATTCTCCAGTAAAGCGGGAAATGGTTCTTGGCTGCCTCGTGGTGACTGTAGTAGTTCGATGAAAGCTTGTTCAAGATCAGGAAGGCAGTTTTTGGAATTTTTTTGCCTCCAATTTTGGACATGTTTCCAATTGTGGAGGTGATTCGGGAACAAATTGCAGTTCTTTGCTCATTCTGGTATTCACAACCAATTCTGGAAATTCTTCTTGCTTTCTTGCAAGTTATTCTTGACGTAAAACATTTCCGAATCACGCCGAGTCATTGTGACTGTATCAAGAACAAGAATAAGGATAAAAAAAATGAATACGCTCAGATTCTCAAATCTGCATAATTGCAGGTCATTGTGAATGGTTGTGGAGTTATCTGTATATGCTTAATAAAATCGCTATATAATAGTTCAGTTTTGCTGTTATTATGCATTAAATTGCAATTCTCTGTCTTCATTCGGCTTCCAATTCTTATACTTTTTGAGTATTATTGTTTTATTTTTAAGTTGTTCTTGTACTAACAGCAAACCGGGCCAAATATCTTCTGATGCCATCAAGATTTCTGTAGTCGGGCCAGATCGGAGTATTTCGTGGTAATAGTTCGGGAATGTGTAACTTGACATGTTGCAATATGTGCTTTTATTCTCTTGGGAGCACCCCCTAAATGAGAGGAGGAAGTGAAGACTTTCTCCATCATGCCTGGCCTAAGGAAAGTATCTGTAAAGTCAAGCCGCCACAGTTGGCCGTAGGGGACCTTACACCTTGAAAATGTCAGCGCGCCCTGAACACGTGTTGACCGGAGCATGGAGTAGTAGAGGCGAGATGCAAGCAACGTTTAGTATTCAACCCATGTCGTTTTTTTTTAACCAGAGCACGGCCGAAACGCTGATTGTATACATCCTGTATAACCGCATGGTTATGGATGTGTGACATTGTATTATTCAAAAGCTGCGAATGGGAATAGATGGCAAAGAATGATGCGGAGGTAAAAATGAAAAGAAAGCTTCGATCGTACGCGTAGTCGTGCCGGGTCATACGATCGAGTGAAGCTACACACTAGGTTGCGATCTCTCCCTTAGAATGCGCGGAGGGAACCAAAAAACCCTACCACTCCCATCACTGGAAATTTACGAATCTGTTGTTGGAGTGGTCGTATGGAAGATGGTCCATCAGGAGTGCCCTTATTGGCATGCCTTCTGTGCCTTTATTTTTGGTAGTATAGTTGCGAAGTTAAGTAGCATTGGTTCGGCAATGTCATGTGGCAGAAAAGCACTGCAGTTCCGCCTACGTCACGTATTCGTGCGCTAGGTTGAATGGTGACCGCTCGATAGTCGAATGGTTCGTTTGTCGGAAGGTTCGTTAGTTCGAAGGTCCTGTTATCCCAATAGACAACAGGGTTTCACAGTCTGTATCGACAGTAAAACTTGACTAGATAGGAAGAAAAAGAGGGCTCAGTGGTCGAAATGGACAACAAATAATGCTTAGGAGTTGTCAGTTTGGATGCTCATACATCCTGTGCTTTAGGAAAAATGAACCTTTTGCGTACAGTTGGATCCTTTTTTGTTTTGGACTTTTGGACTGTATTGGGACTACTAAATCTTTGAACAAAATGAACCTTGGATCACTTTTTTAACATATGAACCCCGTTTTATATGTGGAATTTGCGCATTTGGTCTCTTTGCCTTTTTAAGCAGTAAACCTTGGGACTGTGGGAACTTTCCAACTGTGGTTGAACAATGCCTGATTTGGTCAACTTGACAAGGTACAACCGGAACTAGCCTGCAGCGGCTGCAAGACAACTAACAACAAAGACAATTGGCATTTTGCAGAATCTGTGGTAGAGCAAAATCCATGGTAGAGTTACCGTCAAATCCAATTGATTCTGCAAATTTTCCCTTCGTTTTCGTCACGTATTCTTTTCCGGGACATAATGCTAACCACTTTGTTAGTGTGAATGCAGTTGAGTGCCTTTTAATGCCCTTTTCTTTCCAAAACATGCTCCGCAAAGGCAGGCGTGACACAAGTGGCTTAAGAGTTGGAGGAAGCCATCTAGTAAAAAGGACTGTAAGCTTTGGACCACATTTGCAAGTGGAATTCAGAGGTTAAAAAGAGGCTACGTATACAGCATCAATCTTAGGCTGTTTAATTGATCTTTGAATCCGGCAGTAAATCTCACTTGAAAGAAGTAGGATGCCAGTTTCTGCTCTTCGAAAGGATGGATTGTTCAAGAGACGGTACGCGTCCAAAATGGACAACGATGCCAACCAGGCATGCCTTATTTTTGTTCAAAGATCACTAATTTGTGCTTGCTGAACATCCCATAAAATGAACTTCCTCCTGGTGTAACGAGAAACGGAAGGGATTTTGTTTGATTAAAACATGCATTTTCTTGTTTTGTGCTGGAAGATTGCTGGGCGTCCATGTGCTCTAGAAACGACTTCAAAAGTGAACAGACTGGATAATAGTTGTTATAGTTGTCAAGAGAATCTATCGATTTCGTATTTCCAGGAACTTACCCAAATGCGTGGTTTTGTACAGTTTACGCTTGAATCACAACTAACAGTTGTTATCTGCGTGTGAACGTAACGGCCACTCCCGTTCAAAACTAAATGTTTTTACAGCGGGAAAAAGGGCATGCTTTTTTACTGGTGTTTATGGCACATCGTTTGATAGACCAGCGTGTGCTAATGTTGTCGACGTCGTCCCGTCGTGTCATAGTTTAATTTCTCAAAATCTACGAGGGATGGAAATTAGACGGTACTTGAGTGAGCAGGTCGCCCAATGCAATTGAGCTCGTGTACAGAGATTCAGTCTCAAATTGCACGTAGTTTGGTAAACACGAATATCAACCTGTGTGGACTACACCCCGAAGGTTTGAAACGGTTCAATATAATTTGCAGTAAAAGCGCAAAAACTGTTAACAGCAAACAAAAGCTACAATTAAAAACTACCACGTAGCCGAGTGAAACGTAACCTGCGTTATTGCCGCGAAATACCCCGTCAAAGACTGCCCTCTGGTTATATTAATAACCCTCAAGCGCGACGCCACGGTTAACGAAGTTAATCGTTCGTTTATAGCATTTCAAATTGCGCTGGGCCCATTCTGTTCAGGACGTGTGTCATTATTTGTTTCGTTTCCAATAATGAGAAACACCTAGTATATCGGATGACACCTTGGCGATTGGTGTGCACCTGCATAGTGTTTACTGGCAAGGTTTTGAAGAAGAGCTAGCGTTGGGTTTGAACAAGACTAACAAACACTATATCTCTCTGTTATCTCCTATTCGGTGCGGGGTTTTAAACTTTCCTATCACGTATAGGAGATTTATGCAGACCTGCACGGCACAGTTAGTGCTTTGTGCTTATTTCGGAGTGACACTCTTTTCATAATTGTTGAAGACACTCAAACACTGAAAATAAATCCCCTCATTATTGCCCACGCCCACCCCCTGTGGAATCTTGGAATGATTACAATCACCAGATTAGCTGCAGTCCAACTGCTTCAGTGTCCCCTGTATAAAAACTATGCGGGCCCAGCCCCCCGGAAGTTTTACCCCATTACATGCCAATGTTACAACGTTTGGATGAGTGTGAAGTTCCCCCAGCTGTTTTGCCAGAAAAGATCAGTATCAACTCAGATTGCTATCAACTAAGCTGCAGCTTCAGCGATGTTGGAAGAGATCAAAAGGTGTTGTGCTCGAGTTATAGGTCGAGTTCGAGCGGCCCGTTCTCGACACGGGTTTCTTGTTCTCGCGCTCGAACAGCAGGAACACGACTCAAGAACACTGTTCTCGGAACAGGATCACACACCACCTCTTCGTCAGGGTTTTACAGGAACACACAGAAAACCTCGTGAGATTTTGAGTTTTGCAAAATTAACATTAATTATTTTCCGTAACACTGAAATGGATGTTCCTGTTTATGTAGAAAAGAATTCAGCCCATCCAAACATTAACTCTTGAATAGCCTACATGGACGCCGCCATGTTGCATGTTGCTTGTCACTAACTACTAGCGATAACCGGTCGTTTGTTCCCGGCGTTCGAGCGGCCGACCCACGAACAACAAATCGAGCTGTTCGTGAACAAACGGGAACATGCCGCCCGAACTCGGCCATAAAAAATGTAAATAGTCTTGTAGTTCTCTTATGGTGACTTTTTTTTCTATAGCATCTTCCGTTACATCGTCATGTGTGCACCTAGTTTGGAAAAGGCACTTTGTTACCGTAAGTTGTGTTTCAAATTATCCCCGCGTGGGTTTTCACACCAATGCCTTCAATTTAGGGAGGGGAAATGAAAGGAAAACACTCTGTGAAACGTGGAGTACTTTCTATTGGATGTATGCCATGAATCACGGATTTAGGGACATGTCTTGTGGTTGTTCACAGCGTTTGAAGTCACGACGTTTTTACCGTCAAGGACGCTTTCGTGAAACGTTCAACTCTTGGGATCGAAAAAACGTGACTTCAGTCGATTCATTGGATGCAGTATGCTAAGGTGTATGGACTGTTATGCGGTTTTGGATGAATTAGCACGGTTATCCGATCTGTTGGTAATTTAATTTTGTCTGGAAATGAAGAGCTTTTGGGGGGTTGTTTACCGTTTTCTGATATCTGCATTTTGTCTAGATGAAAGAACAATTCTGAAACGAGTCTAAGCAAACTTCCCAGCAAGCCTTTGAGAACACGAACTAAATGCTTTGTAATTCTAACTCCAGGGGGATTTCACGGGATAGTGGGATAGTTTTTACCTGGACGCTCGTATTTCAGCTATTTGTTGCGACCGAATTCCACCTTTCACTCCTTAACGTGTCAATATAAAAACTGCATGGATGCCACAGCGTCGTGCTTGCGTCTGTAGGGAATATCAAGAAAACACAGTTAGCGCTAAGAAAACACTTTCAACTAGACATGCAGATTAACGGTGACTTTTGTCTTGTCGGCCACAGTGTCGCAGCAAGTAACCGAAGCCTGGGTGTTTGTGATGGTCGTAGCTGTCTGCGAGATGCAGCGAGTGCGTTGACCTTGTCATGAGAGCCTTGTGTACGATTTATGTCTATCTTTTTCAAAGGCAGCGACGATCCCCACAATATGTGTCAAGAACTCAACTCTTTCGGTGTTGAGTTATCGGTCTGCCCAGGTGTAGTTTTACCAAAGGCGGTATTGTTTTATGAAGTAATAAAACACGGACGGAAGACTCTTCTCAGTATCATTGATACATGTTCCCCAGGTCCATAGAAAGGATAGCCTTGAAATCTGTGGAAGTGCGCCATAAATCGATATCTTTGCGATATGGCAACGGTAGTTACTTGATATTTTATCGAGGAATACGTCTTCGGGCTGTTGAACATGTCACGGGCACAACTTCAGATGCAAGTTTCCTTTGGCATATCAAATGACACAGCCCACTGGCTTATTTTGCATTGAAACATTTGCGACAGTTCACACTGAACATCCGAACACTTTTCGCAGAGTGTGTTCAAATTAAAGGAAAATCTGCCCAACAGTGCTTTTCTCAGACAGAACATATGCTTTTGCTTTTCTGAGTGCGGGCAGAACTTTCCCTAAATTGCAGGCACCCGTTCAAAAGTCACGCTGTGAAATTCGCTGCTGTGCATGAAGTATGTACCGAGCCGAGAGGCACTTCGCTCGTCGTCATACATGAGAGGGACGGTCACTGTTACGTTAGTGCGTCATCCTCTCTGCCTTTTCTGTGGTAGCTATACTATTTAATATAGTGTCCTTGGGCATCGACCAAACAACAATTTTGTGATGAATTATTCTTGTTATTCTTGTTCTGTCTCTTTGGAGTGAATAAGTTCTTGTAGGTAATTTCTTTAATACCTATAGACCTCTGAGACAAAATAAATTCATTTAACCAGTTACATGAGCACCCGGGGCGATTTTTACAAAATTTGTTAGGCCATTTTGTGGTATAACTTTTTAGAAAATAATTTCTGTCGATCCGTGGGCTGTAAAAAATGACTCGACATTTCCGGGCCCGACGGGCCCACTTGGTCAAACAAGACTTTAAATACTCTGCCGAACGCACCGCAGAGAAACTGTGTTTCTTTGAAATCATATTCCTGACACGTCATGCATGCAGATTTATATCTGTTTCAGTCCATTTGACCGAAATAGGGTGATTTAGGAGTTGTGCTAGAGATGCAGACAGCACGGTATCAGATAAGTCGATGCTGCGCCACAGGTGAAACGAACACAAACTGAGATTGGATATGGAGCGAAAAGAAATGGTTGCCAGACTGATAGTTAAACCGACAAACATCAGCACTCTCAAAATGCCTCGTTCAAGGTTGTGTTACTAACAGCTTTTATATCACGACCTGTCTTACTACGTGTCGATAAACCCACCTGCTTTAGTCTACAAAACCAGTCCGTTCTTCTTCCGTTTGATTGTGATCTGATGACACGTTGGACGTCACAAGTCGTAATAATGGCCCCTGGCAGGTATATAAACTGCACGTTGGCTCTCGTCTCAGCATGGTGCGTCCAATCGCACGTTTAGACCAGCCAGTTTAATTAGTCGATGTGTGTAAATCTATCTCGACTCTGCACTCGATAAGTTTGCCCATTCTTCGGTGCTTGTAGTTGTGAAAGTCTGTTGCTGAAATTACTGGTTTTAGCCCAGGCACACAGTTGTTCTGGTGCGTGTGTGCCGTGAAGGTAAGTCCACTACATTTGAATTTTATTGGCCTCTCCGAAAGGGAAATACTAACATGATATATTTGTTGGGAAATGCTCTAGTAGTAATTAACAAGGCTCAGCCGTTATGTGAAGAAAAAAAATATCCTGTCCTGATTCAAAATGACTCAATATATGAACGGGCCCCAAGCCCAGGATCAGCTGTCATTGACGAGGAGTAAGTAATTTGAAGAGTTTAGACTTGAGTTGATCGTCATGGGCTGAATATGTGGTTTGTCATTGACGGTACATGTATCGTTGTTCGTTGAAGTACATCCATAATGAGTTGCTTTAACATTTACAAACAAAAGTCCTCGTAGGGGTAAGTGGGTAAGCAAGATATCTTTAATGCCATTGATATCAATGCATTTTGTAAGTGACGTTAGTTTTGGTCCCATTTTATGAAACTGGACTTCACCTGTTGATCGTACAGCGCCTAAACTCCAATACGTCTGGCATACCGGTAGTTGTCACCGTGATTCTTTATGCCATTATTTCCAATACACAACTCGGTTGGCCTTTTTAGACGTGGAGTACTTTACCGAAATATTCCTATGGGTGTGTATGCGACCTTGTTGCCCAGGATTGTAATAAAATTTCGCTCGCTGTTTAATAAGTTTTCGGCAATCGCATGGGATGATACAGAGGCAAACGATTAATGTAAAAACTTTTTATTTTAAAAACTGTTTTTCATGATTGAGGCCTGGGGAACCACAAACTGTAAAATTCGGGTGGAATATCTCAAAGACATATCGTCTAGTAATAGGATATGGCACGACTGTAATCTTGCATACGCTGCTGTTGCTGCGCTACTATTGAACTACCTGGTGTGTTTGGTTTTTGTCTGTATAAATCGCTCTATTCGGCGAGTAAGCGAGGAATAATCGTGATCACTGCGTGGCTCGGAATGACTGATGGGCGGATCAGATGGAGTGGTAAACACACATCCTAGTAATAGGAGGCAAACTACATTTGATTTCGCGCGCTAGAATTAAACATTGTTCAACATCGCAAGATTGACTGTTTGGATTGAATATTTACCTCCAGATTGGAACGGGTCTGAGTGTTGACTCGATTTTGCAACCGTAGTCACGAAGCTTATTGAAAGGTTTAGACAATGCTTGATGTCTTTGAGAATATGGCGGAGTTCCCGCGCACAGACAGGCTTAAAGGCTTTGCTTTATCATTTTGATTATTCTACACTGACTCAGCTGCAATGCTGAATTAAAACTACAAAGTATGACATTATAACCCCCCCCACAGCAATGTGGATACTACATGGGTTATTAATACCAGAGTTGAAAATGTGTTACATTACAGAGAAACAAGAGATACTTGTATCCAAATTGTGTATGTGTGAAGTTTAGACTATAAAAGGCGTCGTGTGGCTAAGATGAAAAGATGTCGTTATTTGATGTAAAGTGATGAAGAAATATATCTTGGGGACTTTCTTTCCGTTCGGCGGAAATTAATCTCCTGGCCTCCTGTGCACTTATGAAAGAGCTCAGTCGAGATTCGTAGATTTCACTTTACCAAGAAATCTGACATTTTTTTCGGACATACATTGTGCGAACTGTTGTGGCCAGTATAGTTGAGCGCGCGAGTCGTATCGCGTTAACAGCACTACAATAGAAATGAAAATCAGGCAGTGTCTAATTCCTTAATGGTTATTCCTCCGTGGGTCTGGTTTCATTTTTCAGCAGTCCGCAGGCAAGAATAATTTAAGCTTACCGGATTAACGAGATGACCATCCGGGCAGGAATCGGGTAAAGTGGACAGAAAAGGTACGCCTGTGTATGCGACGCTGAACGGGCTAGTTTGTAAGCTGTGAGTTGGCCCTCTCGCCAATACCTGAACCACATTAGTATTCTCCTTCAACCAGGAACCGAAATACGCTGGGTATGGTACCTTTTTACGTGAAACAAGATATACTGTTGATCTTAGTCCCCGACTTGACTGCCCCTGGGATATGTCCGACGCAAAAGGCGCAGGAAAGAAAATATTTATCCACAAAGCGCGAAGTGCACCGTCGTCTGCCAGGCGAACGTGCACCGGCTCGCTGTTCAATTCTGTTTGGAAACTTATCGCCTCTGGTGCCCCATACTGTGATTTTAATACGCGTCACTATGTCTTGATAGATTCGAATGGATTGGTTTTCGTGCTTAGGTATGAGTGCAGGGTTTCTAACGCCTGCAAACCCTGAGGATAGATATTTATTGAAAATGACTATGCTTTTCAGGCTGTTATTTCATGCATATCCTCAGTATACAAAAATAGCACTATGTACCGTATACAAACAATTTAGTTAGCAGTGCATTCTGCTGCGACGACACCCGACCCCGATAAATTAACTTACGATCCCATATCGACAGGTTAATGAGACACTTCAGCCAAAAACGTGCGCAGTGGAAGAGAGAAATTGTTTCTTACCATGACATTACCAAAAAAAGTTGTTTGACAAATCATGCAGATGGTGATTATAATCGGCCTCTGACTCAACATGGCAAGAAATAAGCAGATCTCATTGTTATAAAATAGTGTCTAGACCGAACATTTCAGCGTTTTTCTTTTCAAGCTTAGAGTTCGATTTCTGTACGAAATAGATTACAGCAAAAGGTAACTTCACTTTTGACTTTGCAATTTGTTACCTCGTCCGAAACATCGTCAAGTATTCAATCCGCATGTATCCTTCCCCATTTTCAAAGATTATGGTAGAAAAAACTGTGGAAAGCACGGTTTGTTGCTCAGTTGGTGGTCAAAATTTAGACATAAGCTGTGTAGATTGACTGCATTGATGGTTCAAACATTCCGTCGCTTTGTTAGTTGATGTGCGCATCGGTGATTGTACTCTGGGGCTCCCTGGCTTGACAGTGACCGTTTTCTGTGGAATCGCGCTTGAGTTTAAACAATTAATGTCCCATGCGGTTCAGTGAACGAGGATAAAAAATAGCCCGTCCTCATTCATTGAATTTTCTTTTGCGAGGATGATTGTATGCACACGACTCCTTTTTGTCAACAAGCTGGACAAAGTGATCGATTTACTAATGCGGTTGTCGTAAATGAAGTCATTGAATCTGGAAATTAATATTTTATCGACTGTGCGTCACATACGGCAAGCATACCAGTAATTACCAGGTCAAACTACTTTACATTGGTTGATTTCCATAACAGTAGTAAATGTGAGCCTCCTAATGGCTGTTAGACTGTTGAAACAGCGCCCCACATGACGTAGCGCAGCCATCAGGACAGCAGAAAAAGTGGTTGGTGGGGAGAGGAGCCAACCGCGCAGCGTTACTGGCTTCACTTTAGCGCTGGCACAGCTCGTGCACGCACGCATCTTCACACCCACTGCTGAAAGGCTGCGATACAATGGGCTATCTATGGTGTGTCTAACCACTGGCTGCATTGAAGATTCTGGTTGTTCGTCAACGTGATTTGCTGTCTACTCCAGCGTTATGTCACACTGGATGGATGAATTGGGGGACTAAACATACAACGGCACTGTGATTACTAAAGGTAGTTTAGTCTTGGGATTCTGTCTTGTAGTTTGTCTCCTAATTCATCTCTGCTGACACCGAGTTCCTCCAGGAAATGAGGGGCTTTGACAGAAAAATGAAATTCAGCCCTTAACAGACCCGTGTGAAGGGTAAGTGGATTTTGCATGTTCAAGCATGCAGCCATTTTTCGTTCATAAAGAGATGGGATAAAGAGTCACAGGCACTACATTTTCTGAGTGTAATTCAACCCATTGAAACGAATGGAGTTGCGACGATTGCTTTGTGGCAACACTCTGTAAGCAAAGAGTGAGACTGCAACCAGCGATCATGTGCGAGTCCACTGTTTGGCTTTGAAGCTCCAGCTATGAATTAAAAGTGGTCGGTGCTGGTACAACACAGCACGAACAAAAAGACGGCAGAAAGCCCCAAATCTAATGTAAATACTGCACTCCATTCTGGTCCAAAACATTAGAGTGACTACGATATTTATGGTTTATTTGGAATGCTGACTGTAGAATGGCAGTTGGCACAGAGGCAAACCGACACGTGCAGACAAAGAATGACATAAAAAAGGGAAATGCGGCCGGTTGCTCCATACAGCAGAAAGTTTCGGTGAGACATATTGATTATGCCACTTACCAGAAGAATCTTAAGGAAAAACAGTTGAATTTGATGCTTTGAATCGCATATTGGACTTCCTTCACTGTGTTAATTATCACTATGGTGGATTATAGCTTGTTCCGAAGGTAAACCGTGCAACGGTGCTCATTTGTAATTGAATGCCTTGTCAAATATCTGAAAACCTACGGTGTAGCAGGTTTTTAAAGCCTCGCACGAATGTTCATGCGCTAATGGTACCTTCATTCACGACTTCGGTTTTCTCAGGAATTTCTTCTTTGGCCTCTACAATACCATCAAAGACTATTGCCAAGCTTTGACATTTTATAACCTTACGTATTGGCGGCCAATAAGGAATGTACTATAATGGTTAAAGGACCTAGTCCGCCAGCAATGAGACTAAAATCTCAAAATTTCCTCTAATTTGGTAAATGCCCAACAAGCTTTCCCGAGTGTGTATGTGTTACACGCCCTAATTGCAAACCCATTGGCAATACAATCAATTAGATTTTCTTTGAATTCGGCAGGCAAACTTACGTTTGCCATCAATATTGGCTGTTATTCCTAGATGACTTGAGCCTTGACGGGTGAAATTGAAGTCTTAAAACATTAAGTGTTCATTTCAAGGATGAATT